TGATGCCTTGCCCGAAGCCTGCTTGGGCTAGAGGAGGTCGGAGATCGTGTGTTTTGATGTCAGAAGGGACTACTTAAAAGGGTTCCCGAAGCTGCCCTTTACGCTCCAAGCTTAGGGTTTTCTCAGGGTTTAGAATTTATAAGTTTTTTTTGTTTTTTAAGTTGGGTTCGACTCTTTAGAATTTACAAGGTTTAGGAAAAAGGAACTAGGGTTTAGGGATTTGGGTTTAGGGACTGAGGGCTTTTTGGTTCAGGGCTTATGGTCCTAATGACCCTTGACTCACGAACGAATCCACTACTTCTTCATACCCCAGTGTCAGTCATAAGGGGTCTTAATGACTAGAATAGGGTTTGGGGGGGTCCTGTATGGTAAAATTATGATTAATAAGGAAGCCCTTAAATAATATATAGGTAGTTGTTGACGCCTTTAATGCGATTCGTGTTCTAGTTGCGACCTAAACCCTCAACTTTCCTATAAAACATCTACAGTTTCAGAGTTTGAGGCTTCATGCCCTGAATAGATGACAGTCCTCGTCAGTGCCCAGAGCTCCTTTGTCAGAATCTTGAAGGGTAATTATTAAGGCCCCTAAAATATATTAAGCAAATACTAGATGCTACGCTTCAAAGTCCCCCAGCCTTGAACTAATCCGAAGACCTTACCCTAAATACCGGCATGGCAACACTTGGGTAGTTGTTGAAATTAGGGTCCCTTTTAGGATCCTTCTTATCAGGGTGCCGTACTATATGGAGGACCCAACAAGGGAACCTAATTTAGAGAACTACCCACTTGCAGCAACCTTTGCCGTAATCCTTAAAATGAAGAAACCCCTGAAAGCCCTGAAATCAGAATTGTTGTGCTTACCTCGCAAGAAATCTTAATATCAGGCAGCCCTTCGCCCTTTGAAGGAGCCCTAAACCCGAAACCGTAAGTCTAAACCCTGGATCCCTAGACCCTAATCCCTAAACCCGAAACCCTTAAACCGTTAAACCCTAACCCACCAAACTCTGAAACCCATGTACTAAAACTAAAGCCCAAACCCTAATTCAACCCCCCTAAAGCCTCTCTTCAAGGCCTAAACCCTAAACCCTAAATCCTAAACCATAAATCTTAAACCCTGAACCCTCAATCCTAAACCCTAAACCCTGAATCCTAAACCCTTAATCCTGAACCGTAAACCCTAAATCCTAAACCCTAAACCCCCCTAACCCCCCACCCCCCCTTAAAGCCCTAAAGACTCTCTTCAAGGCCCCAGCTCCCCATCTGGCTGCTTGGGATTGATCGAGCAGTTCGTGCTCGGTGCCTTTCTCTTTAACCCTAAACCCTAAACTCGGTGTCTTTAAAGGTTTAGGGTTTTGTCCCGGGTTTCTGTACAATAGAGGTTTAGGGTTTTAAGGGTGTCTTTAAAGGTTTTGGGTTTTGGCCTTTAGAGGGTGTCTCAAAAGATTTACGGTTTAGGGTCCAGGGTTTCTGTAGAGGATTTTAGCAGGGGTGCTTCACGAGGTTGCTTTAAGAGTCTTCCTAGTTTTGAATGTTTACGGTTTAGGGTTTGAAAGGGTTTCTTTGCATGTTTGGGGCGTAGGGTTTAGGTGTTCCAAGAATATTTAGGACGTATAAGGGTCGTTACAAAGGTTGCTAGAAACGTTACTATAAGGGACAGCGAGGGTTGAGTAGATGGGGGGTTCTTCAAAAGGTTCTTTACAGGGCCTTGTAGGGCTTTATAGGCTTCATGGTTCTGCTGGCCGTGATGAGAGTTTTGTCGGATTTTACAAGGAAGGCATCAGACTGGTTTCGAAAAGGGTGTACATGAGTTTCAGAGGATTTTTGTCAGGGGCTTATGAAGGGGGGCTCTATGCTTAGCATTTAGAGGTTCAGGTTGCAAACACGAGCACCAACAGTCCTGTAAGTTTAAAGCTACACTGCATATACAGTTATGCACATTCTTATCATGATAAATATGTATGTGTGTATGGCTGTCTGTCTGTCTGTGTGTCTGTCTGTGTGTCTGTGTGTCTGTCT